AGTTTAAGGGGATCGATTCTTACCATATTATAATTTATTTGATTGATTTTATACTATTTTGGACTGATTCAATTATATAATGAGCTACTATTGTTTCTTTTCTAGCTTCCCCATATCCAATATTCAAAATTAAAGTTTTTTAATTCAAATATATCCATATACCTTAAGTATCCACTATTTAATCTAATTTGTTTTTTAACATCACAATTTTTTAATCTTCCAATAATACTCTAGAGTCTTGAGATGAAATTAATAATTAATTTCTTCCGTACTAGATTTCCAAACAAGTTTATAGAGAATAATTTAGATATCTGACAATAATTCTATTCAATAGCTGAAATTATGCAAAAAAATTCCTTTTACACTTTTTGAGGATTAATTTCTATAATTATAACCTTTTCATCTTGTTCAAATTCGAGGTCAATTCTTTTATCTAATGTTTATGATTAAAAAACCGCATCTTCAGTTGACATTTTTTTAAATAAAAAGATAATAATTTATAGAAAACTTATTATTCTTTAATAAATACTATTGTTAATAGAATTTCACTGATAAAATATATTTATGTCTTAATAAATATTCTACTTAGTAAATATTGAAATGAAATTTTAATGCCATATTCTCTAACTATATTTAATATCTATCAATAATAAGAAATTAGTAGATTTTATGAAGAATATATATATATATAATTATATTAAATAACTTGATTTATCCAAATATTAAATCATGTTTTAGTTTATCAATAAAAATTCAATTTTATCTTCCAGATATTGTTTCATTAGCATTCATATTTAATAAAAATGTAGGTCTTAAATTAATAAAAAAAGAATACTTTTAGTCAAGAATTTATATACTAATTCTTTATTATTATAACGCTATCAGAGAATTAGTTTTAACCAAATGATGTTTACACAGATTCTTTTCAGAAGAAGATATGATGGGAGTAATTGTTCTAGAATCTAATAATTATTCACAATTATTTTCAGGTTGAAAACAATTATACTTTTCTTAATTTTTGATGATGATAATTTTTTTAGCAATTTTCAAAAGATATGTTTTTAATTTTTTAATTAAATACTTCTACCTTACTTATTTTTCTTTATGATTTCNTTTAGTTAATGAACCTAATTTAATTTAGGTGACAGCCATGTCATATCATTCTGATTACATGTTAATGACTTTATAGGATTCATCAAATGTTTGGCATTTGATAAAATGGCATAAATTTTTACATTAATTATTCCTTATAAAACCTTTACTATTCCATATTATCCTGCATGATCATGAATAGATGAATAATGTTTAAATGGCCAAATTTCTAAGACAAATTAATGTCCTGCAGAATCTTTATTAAAATGGCCTAATCCCAATCTTATGTAAGTCATTAAAGGATCTAAACCATTTTTTTGAGTAGTTTCCTATTTATTTTTTAGTATTTAGTTCAATTTGCATCCTTCAATTGTAACACTATGATGAATTAAGTCTCCTAAATTAAATTTAGCTACTCCCTAAACTTATTAACCAGATTCAAAATATTCTATTTAATGCAATTCAATTTAACTTGCTTATTAATATAAATCGTCTATTTCTGAAGCTAAATTCTTTGCTTACTTCCCTTGATTCAAATCAAAAATATTTTAGCATTTTTATAAGATAACAGAACTTAGTGTGGGAATAAAATGATCTTTTGTGTGAATCCTTATTGGCTTTAGCTCTCCTTTTTAACTGGATATAATTTAAGGTAAGAAGTTTAAGGGAATCGATTCTTACCATATTGTAATTTATTTGATTGATTTTATACTATTTTGGACTGATTCCATTATATAATGAGCTACTATTGTTTCTTTTCTAGCTTCCCCATATCCAATATTCAAATTTAAAGTTTTTTTATTCAAATATATCCATATACCTTAAGTATCCACTATTTAATCTAATTTGTTTTTTTACATCACAATTTTTTAATCTTCCAATAATACTCTAGAGTCTTGAGATGAAATTAATAATTAATTTCTTCCGTACTAGATTTCCAAACAAGTTTATAGAGAATAATTTAGATATCTGACAATAATTCTATTCAATAGCTGAAATTATGCAAAGAATTCCTTTAACACTTTTTGAGGATTAATTTCTATAATTATAACCTTTTCATCTTGTTCAAATTCGAGGTCAATTCTTTTATCTAATGTTTATGATTAAAAAACCGCATCTTCAGTTGACATTTTTTTAAATAACAAATAATACTTTATAGAAAACTTATTATTCTTTAACAAATACTATTATTAATAGAATTTCACTGATAAAATATATTTATGTCTTAATAAATATTCTACTTAGTAAAATATTTAAATGAATTTTAATGCCATATTCTCTAACTATATTTAATATCTATCAATAATAAGAAATTAGTAGATTTTATGAAGAATATATATATATAATTATATTAAATAACTTGATTTATCCAAATATTTAATCATGTTTTAGTTTATCAATAAAAATTCAATTTTATCTTCCAGATATTGTATCATTAGCATTAATATTTAATAACAATGTAGGTCTTAAATTAATAAAAAAAGAATACTTTTAGTCAAGAATTTATATACTAATTCTTTATTATTATAACGCTATCAGAGAATTAGTTTTAACCAAATGATGTTTACACAGATTCTTTTCAGAAGAAGATATGATGGGAGTAATTGTTCTAGAATCTAATAATTATTCACAATTATTTTCAGGTTGAAAACAATTATACTTTTCTTAATTTTTGATGATGATAATTTTTTTAGCAATTTTCAAAAGATATGTTTTTAATTTTTTAATTAAATACTTCTACCTTACTTATTTTTCTTTATGATTTCTTAATAATTTTTAAATAATATTATATTTCATTAAACATGGAAAAAACCTTGCTAACTTTATTTTAAATACATTCAGTTTTTACTCTAATTCATTAATTTATTATCTTAAAAATTCTTTGATAATTTTCAATAGTAGATATGAAATTGAATAAATATTTAAGAACAATAAGACTAAGATAAATATATATGAGAGTTCTGTTGAGCCTGAATATTATGAGAAGTAGCATCCTATTCCCAAATTGATTGAAATTATACAAGTGTTTGTTAAAAAATAATCCAACTAGTTTAAATAATTTAGATTATAGGGTTTAAATTTTTTGTTCAACTCTAAGTAAAGGATTAAAATCAAAACCACAATTATTGCTTTGATGAGAATACTATCTTCAAAATATGTTAAAGAGAGGATAATTAATTCTCTCTAAAATATTTTAACTATTTCCCAATAAAAGGTTAAATATCGATATTCTATGTACAAATAACCCCAACTTTATCGCACCAATTTTTTATTAAATTTATCTTTATTTTTGTAAAGCCCAATTAATAAATAGAGTGGTATTACAATGGAAAATAAAAGAAGTGTAGGTATACAAAATCTAAACATCCATAATTTATGGATTTCTGTGTCATACCTCTAAGATACATTTGCAGAAATCCATTTATAATCTGAGACCTCCCTAAAGGAAACCAATAGCATCAATCCACCAATTAATGTTGGTTATAAATAGATGTAGATATAAATGAGTGTAGTTGTTATGACACTTTTATTGAAAATAGCATATCCAATTTTGAAGGCAATAAAGTAAATTAAAAAGAAGAAGCTAGTATAAAAGAAAGGTGTGATTAATTCCCAAATCATTCTTGCATAATGTATTTCATATGAGAAAGTACTTGATAAAAAGCAATCTAAAGAGTAAATCATTGACTCAAATGGTGAACTAATAGTTTATAAAGTACCTTATAATTCATTTGAAAAGTCTATTTAAAATGTACTTATTGTATCTAAAATTTATAAATAATTTGTTAAAAGTTTCATTAAAATTGCAGAACTATCTTAATTAAAATAAGTAGAACGATAAAAAACAGACTTAAAATCTGGTAATATATCCTATGCCGCCTTTATTGTACCTTAAACAGAAATAAAAACAGAAATTAAAGTCCTTCAATAACATATAAATTATTACCATAAACTTACTAATGTAATAATTAATGTATTTCTTTATGTCTCCTAACAGGAACCGCAAACAAACCTTTAGCCAACAGAGAATTCACCATCACCTCTCGTATTATACAAATCGCATTATTCACATAATGCTCCGATATGTCCGATTGAACAAGATAAATCACCCTCCCTCAATCCTCCCAAACAATTACTGAGTAAATTAAGACAACTGGATACTTTACTTGTATCTATATAAGGTCGCCAAAATCCTTATTTTAAATTTAATTAAGATGAATTCACACTTATTGTAGATATATCATCTTTTACTTCACATTTAGGTGAATTCAATTTTAAAGAGAATAAACCTTGACTATTATCACATAGAATGCAAGAGAAGTTAATAAAACTCTTAATTTCACCAAATTAACATGGTAGAGTTCTAACTTCAACTCTTAATTTATAATTATTGTGACTGCCTTGAAGATTATAAGGTAATTTTTTATTAAATATTGGAATTTATATGGAATTGCAACTAAATTCTAATTATAAAGACATATTAGAAGGTAATTCATTATCTAAATATATTATTAAATCTTCCAAATTATAACCTTAAGTTGAATCATTGAATTAAGTGTTATTCATATTTGAAAAATTAAATAAGAAATTATCCGAATCTAGTTTGTTTTCAGAGAAAACATGTATTCTACCCTAAATTCTACAGGAAGTACCAGATAAATTTCTTATTATCTAACTTTCTGAATTTAATGGTATAAGTCGAAAGGTTTAATTTGATGGGATATACTTTCGATCTTCCCAATCAAAATATTTATATTTAGCAATACTTTACCCACTTGGGACAAATAGTTATTGAGATATTATCCCTTAAACTGTTTCATAAGGAGGAATATACACCTAATCGATTATTAGATTATCTTCATTTATCAATCTAAATGTTGAAAGCATTTCCTTTTCATTTAGTTATAGAGTTAATTTTTGAGGAATGGATATAATAGTATTTCCGTAAGTTTATGCTTTATTGTTATCAATATAATTATAAAAAATTGGATACTATAGAGTTTCCTATTGAAAAATTCCTCCTCCAATATTTGCTTGATTATTGTAAATCTAACAATTATATAGTAAAATCTCTTAGTTTGTATAAATAGCTCCTCCTCTTAAAGCAGCATTGTTAGATAAGAAATTACAATCCTATAGGTATATTGTGATATATTATGAATTTAAGCATGTACCCTCTTAGCATGAATTATTTGTGCAAATATAGTTTGTAATATACTTTCAAATCTTAGAAGAAATTTTTATTTTTCATCAAACTAAAATAATATTCTACCCTACTTATTCTTAAATAGGTTAAGACATCCTTTATATCCACATTGTGAGTTTGTAATAAATAGATTCGAAATAGAGGAGAATTTTTGAATTTTATTTGTTGTTTTATACTTAAATGATAATAATCCTCTTTGACAAAATGAACAATTAATTTCAGTAACAAGCCTATTTTTTATTTCTATTAGATCATCATAGAGTGAAGAGAGTAATATAAGTCCTGATTCACTCATTTCTGTTAGATTAGTGTTAAGATTTCTCCAACACAAATCCTTTGAAAATTTAGAAATGTAAAAGCTTTGTAAATTTGAAGGTGCTGAAAATATTTCTGTATCAATTAAAAAGCATTAAAAGGATTTTCAAAGG